CCGCCGCTCGATGACGGTGACCTGCTGGGTTTGGCGGAGCGCGACATGGGTTCTTCGAAGTCCTCGTCATCCTGGAGGGCCATCAGCTGGTCCCTGTTTGCGACGGCCTCGCGGAAGGACTCCTTGACGCCCCTCGGCGTGTAGGGCCTCGGCACACGCTTGCCCTTCTGCGCGCCGCCCGCACTCCGCGGCATCCGTATGAGCCACCTGAACACGGAACACGACAACAGACAGGCCAATGCATTCATTAAGGGGTCCATGTACATGTCATGTATGTGGCCAGCAAAGCCTTTGTCCTGCTCTGCTTACTCGAGGCCTCGTTTGTCTACGTTGGTCTTCCGCAGCGACACGTAAGATGGGCCGCCACCGTTTTCGTCCCGCAGGCGGGCGACCTCCTGCTCTGCCAGGCGCATGGCCTCGTCCACGTTGAGCTGCCGGTCCTCCCGATCCCCATGGTCGTCGATGTCCATGGCATTGCTGTCCGCATCCTGCCCCCCATCCACTGACCCCTCGAGTGTGCCGCCCTTTGCCACCTGGCGGCGCTTCTTGACCCGCGGCTGGCGAGACCCATCATCCGACAACACGGGAGAGGGGCCGTGTCCCACCTTGCTGAGGGCGTGCTTGAGGCTGGCGCGGATCCGGTGAGCCGTGTAGGGCTCGTCGATGCGGACGAAGTGCGTCTCTGCCTCGGCATCGTCGGTCATGATCTCCCAGAAGAGGCTCCTCTTGCCCTGCTGGCTGGTGGCGATGTGCAGCGAGACGGGCAGGGGGTCCTCCCCTGTCTGCTGTGCCATCCGCTCCAGCTGCTGCTCGCACACCTCTATGGCCCCGTCGGTGGACAGGACGTTGCTGTTGGTGCTCTTCCTGCTGGGGGCGCTGCTGGCGGCGTCTGCCTCATCCTCGACGCATCCCAGGTCGAAGTCCCGCTTGGTGTTGCGCTTGGTCGGCCGCCGCTGCGGCAGCTGGCTCACCGCCTCATTGCTCTGGCTCACCGCGACCAGGTGACGCATGGTGTCGCGGTGAGAAAGAGCACTCTGCAGGGCCTCGTGCACCGAGTGGACGCTGTGCGGCTCGCACAGCTTGAAGCTCTTCTGCCGCTGGGCCACCACCACCCTGAAGGCCATCTTCTTGGCGTGGAAGTTGATGCTCGTCGACTGCTTGGGGACAAAGGCCTTGAGCCGAGTTGACAGCCGCTGTGCCAACGCTATGGCAGCGTCGCGGGAGAGGGCTGTTGTGCCTGGCGCGTGGCGTGGGCTGATGGTGGTCTGGCCGTCATGCCCTGCCACCATGTCCTTGTGGGCGCCAAGGCTGTCTGCCCGCCGCTCTCCCGAATGTGTGCTGGCCGGCGGTGCCTCCCCCATATGGACACCATCCGCACACCGATGGCCAGCATCACACACCACACCGTTGGCAGCCCGGCCAGCACTAATGTGCTCCCGCATCGCCAGACACACCTCCACCGCCACACGGACGCCATCCAACGTGGGAGGCGCGATGGACACCAGCTCGCGACGGCTGTTGGGGCCCTCAGAGTCGGGGGTGACGTACAACTGGCGAGTGGTCGAGTCGAAGCCGATGAGAGGGGGCGAGTGGGTCTCTGTTGATTGCGGCAGGTGGTTGAGGGCGTCCACACATGCCCGCTCCAGCTCCTGGGGTGTGAGTGCAGGAAGGGGCGGCTGGGGGGGAGGCGACGCAGCTGCACAGAACCCAAGACACACACACGGCAAAAGTGTAAGTAAGCAGGTGTTGGAGGGGGGGGGTTCCTGTACTTGGGTTACCGATGAAGGCGCTGGATGCGGTGGAAGAGGCGGCAACAATGCCACGGCCCCTCTCGGTGGATGTGCTATGCTGGTATTGCTGCGGCTGTGAGTCCATTGAGGCCATGGCATGGTCGAGCAGACCGCCTTCTGCTGGCCGCCCCCCTCCGTGGCTGCCCTCCTCCCAGCTCATGCTGTCCGTCTTGTCCACGGCTTCCCCACCCGCACCACTGATGTGCCCATCGTCCTTGGCTGCAGCCGGCACTGCCTCTACACGTCGGCTCGCGGCCGCCCTGTCCCTGTTGCGCATGTACTTGGTCACGTACGCCCTGACGCCGTTGACGGAGCGGGAGGGGATCTCCCGCTGGATGGCCTCCCAGTCAGGGCCCAGCTTGTCGAACAAGGCCCACACACGCCGACGCTCACCCTCGCTCCACGAGTTGCTCGACCCACGCCACTTGATCGACTCGCGCAGCTTGCGGCGTGCCTCGACGGCCCGCTGCAGCGTCGCCCGCACGCCCTCGACCGTCCTGGGCTCGATGAGGATGCGCTGAGTGGCAGCGCCCGTCATGGACACGCAAATTTTGTTGCAGTCTTTGCTCAGGTGGATGTGGAGCGGCTCGCCCGGCTGGCTGCTCTGACGAAGCTTGTCCAGCTCGGCCCCGCAGACGGCCGACAGGGCCGCTGGGGACAGCTCCTCGGATGGCGATGGCGAGGCAGACGTGGGAGGTGGGTGGGCTTCGGCGTGTGGGAGTGAAGGGTGTGAGGGCTGTGAAGTGCGGCCGCCACTGCGTGAGGGCGGGCGCGCCTTGCGCTTGGCCGGTCGGCTACGGGGGGCTGATGGGGGGCTGGGGCTGGGGGAGGGCGGACGCAAGATGAGAGCTGACGATTTTGGAGCGCCCCCACAGAACAGAGCACTTGTAAGTTTCGCTGCCTTGCTGTGGTTGTTGGCGTGTGTGTCTTACCGAGTAGGTGTGCGATCTCATCTTTGTGTTGTTTCCATTGCAGTATCTCGTGACGCCGGGTGGTCTCGGGGGCAGCAGCACTGCCAGTGGCAGCGGATGGCTCGTTGGGGCGGTGGTGGTGGTGGTGTGGGTCATCGGGTGTGCACACCCGTCCGGTGGTGTGTTGGCTGCCGATGGCGAGGTCGTACTGTCTGTGCATCAGGGTGGGGGGTGTCTGCTGCCACAGGGGATGCTTCTGACACGGATTGAACTCGTGACGAGCTGAACACACATTCACCACACACACACACACACACACACAGGCAGGCAGGCAGGCAGGCATAGAGACGATGAGGGCCAACATGCCTCTGTGGTCATGTATTTTGGCACCTACGCACCTCTCTGTTTGATCTCTTGTACGACTGCCCTGAAGACCAGGTCACACTTGGCCACCTTGACGGGGTCCACACGCGTCCCGCTGCCCACATCCATGAAGGTGGCGGTGTCGCACGGCTCGCTCACGCCCTCCCGTCCAGGCACCCAGGCCAACCTGTGGCCCTGCTTGACGGCCAGCGTCATCAGCACATTGCTATCATGGTCGGCCGCGCCACACCCGTGGATGTAGTTGGCCCCCAACTCTACCATCACGCAATCCTCCTTGGCTGCTGCTGCTCCTGCACCAGCACCAGCACCAGCGGCACCAGTGGATGCTGCTTGGTCAGCGGAGGATGCGCTGGCCTGCAATGGGTGCGTGTGCGTGGGTGTGCCGGCGAGTGTGTGTGATCGGATGCGGCCGCCGGCCTGGTCACGGGCCTCGAAGACGGCGATGCGCAGGTTGGCAGCCAAACAGTCGCGGGCCGCCACCAAACCTGCGGGAGGCACGCAAGGATGGAAGGAAAAAGTCATGCACGTCGGATGATGCACGTCTGGTGCTCCCTCCCTCCCTCTTGTAAACCGCCCTCCCCCCACCCACCAGCAGTGCCGGCTCCAATGACAATCACATCGTAGTCACACGGAGCACTCGAGGCGCCACTGCCTCCTCCTCCTCCTCCTCCCATGGCCGCTCTCACCGCCCGTCGCCTCTTGCTTTCTTGTGCGCGTGATCGGCTGCCCTGTGTGGGTGTCTGTGCGTGTGGGGCGAGGAACAGCTGCCGCAGGTGTTGGTCCATGCAGGACGGGCGGAGGGCGTCACGGTTGAAGGCAATGCAGCTCGCCTCCTGACAGACAGACACAGTCAGCCAGTGATATAATGGATCAACCAACAGTCGCACCAGGGAAGGGCGAGATGTGGGTGTGGGTGTAAGGGCGAGATGTGGGTGTGGGTGTTTCTGTGTGTTAACTATGTGTGTCGGTTCCTTACTGACCCGTGGCCCAAAGAACCGCACACACTCTAGGTCGTGACGCCTGCAGGCGTCATCGAATGTCGGGTACGGCCTGACACACAACACAACACAACACAACACAAGACAACACAGGACAGGACAGGACAGGCGAGGTTCCTTCTCTTCTTTCCTCCCATAGATCTGTGTGTGTCACCCACCCATAGATGTTTTCGTATCCGTTGATGAGTAGGCGGGCCCAGAAACCGTCGTGCTCGACGTCATACAGAATGCGCCAGTCTGCTTAAAGGCAAACAAGCACACCACACACACAAAGACGATATGGACAGGCAACGACCACCACACCGCTGGCATCAATGACTCCCCCTGGCACCTGCGTGTGGGACGGGAACATGTCCAGACACGACGCCTATCTGCTTCAGCAACTGACGAAGAGCTGCTAACGCCTCTGGGGGACACACACACACACACACAGAGAGAGAGAGAGAGAGAGACGACCAACCGACATGCACAGACATGAACACATCCACATGCCCCCGCCAACCACCCTCCCTTCCTCCCTCCCTCCCTCCTTCCACCTCTCCTTCAGCGCACCTCACCTTGGCGGGTCGATGGCATTCTATCTGGAGTTGTCGCAACCACCATCCTTGGATCCTCCGTTGCCTGGCGGTCGGTCTCCCCTCCACCCCCTGCTGCTGCTGCTGCCGCTACCGCTGCCGGGCGGCTCTCGTATGCATCGCGCTGCTCGTGTGTCTGACAACCTCCTACATGACCACGGGCCGATAGATAGATGGGCGCGATGGACGCGCCAGTGGTGCAACCAGCCGGGCCGTCCATCGACTCATCCATGGGGAATCAGCAAGATCACACCACGACAGAGGGCCAACTCAGGTGGCGTGCGATTGTCAGCCCGCCCATCTCCTTGATTCAAAAGCTCGCACCAACGTAAAAACGGAGGAGGCGGATCTGGAACAGGTGTCAGCACTGTGACCCTGGACAACACTCCTGAGCCAAGTAGTGAATCTCCCTTCATCCATCCCCGCACAATGGCATGATGGCATTGCTGCTGCGTCGGCTGCCCTGCTCGTCCCCCTCCCTTCTTGGACACACCGCACGCCGCCCTTTGGCTCCTCTCCATTGCCGCTTCTCGTCAACAGCGAGTGAGGCTGGTCAATCCAGCAGCCAAAGCACCGGCTTGCTGGTGTCTGTCAGCAAGAGTAAGGACAGCACCATCAGCGTCATCTCACTGCAGCGGCCAGAGGCCAAGAACGCCATCAGCAGCGCCTTGCTATACGACCTGAGCAATGCAGTCGAGTCGGTGCGCCACGACGAGCAGACGCGGGCCGTCATCGTCCGCAGCCGAGTGCCGCGTGTCTTTTGCGCCGGCGCCGACCTCAAGGAGCGCGCCAAGATGAGTGAGAGCGACGCCCGTGTGTTTGTGTCGAAGCTGCGCGCGTCCATGACGGCCATCGACCGGCTGCCGCAGCCCACCATTGCCTGCATCGACGGGGTGGCCCTCGGCGGTGGCCTCGAGCTGGCGCTGGCCTGCGACTTCCGCATCGCCAGCCCATCGGCCGTTGTCGGCCTCCCTGAGACCTCGCTGGCTATCATTCCTGGTGCAGGAGGGACACAGCGGCTGCCGAGGCTGGTGGGGCTGCAGCGGGCCAAGTTCCTCATCTTGACGGCTCAGCGGCTCAAGGGATCCGACGCGCTTACCTGGGGCATGGTGGACTTCGTCACTGGCGAGAACGACCACTGGCTTGTCGACCCAAACGACAGCAGTAAGGGCGATCAAGGGGCGTCTGGGGCGATGACCGAGTTCGACGCCATGTTTGAGAGTGAGAGGGCCGACGAGTGGCCCGCCGTGTGCGCGGGGATTCGGCTCGCCAAGATGATATCTGCGCAGGTGTGGCATGACAGCACGTAGAAGCCAAGATGGATGACCTTGATCAATCAGGCGGGCCGGCTTGTCTGTCTGTCTGTCTGTCTGTCTGTCTGTGCCTGGGTCTGGGTCTGTCTGCCTGTAAGGGTCCTGTGGCGATCCGTGCCGCCAAGCGGGCGCTGAATGAGGGCATGCAGACGGACCTGGAGACCGGCATGGACGTCGAGAGGGGCGCGTATGACCAAGTGCTCGACACTCACGACCGAATCGAGGCACTCAACGCCTTCAGAGAGAAGAGGAAACCGCATTTCACCGGCAAATGACGTTGGTTGGTCGATGTGTGAAGTCAGTCAGGCGGTGCTCTCCTCGTATTTAGCCCCGATGACATGTACGGTCGATGTCCCAAAGGTGGTCTGTCGGCTGTGATGTCTGCTTCGGCATTGTGTTTGCCAGATGGGTGTTCGCTCAGAAAACGGGGGTGTGTTTGTCAGAGAGATAAGAATATAGTTTGCCTGCCTCCCGTGGCTTTGACTTGTTCTTGTGTGGCTCCAACACCGATGTATGTATCATGAACGGCGGCATGATTGACTTGATGGCGGCAGACCGCCGGACACCTACTTACGTCCAGACAGCCTCTTAGAGCGTCTGTTGAACGGTATCGGCATGCAATGCAGACAAAGGTGCCAAACAGACAGGCACACACATAGCCACCGACAAACGAATCAGTCAGTCAGTGTGCGGGAGCCAGGTCACCAGAAGATATGTGTGCTCTACCATCCGCCACCTACACACGCGTAGAGCCCCCTCGCTCAGCCTCCCGTGTGCCTCACCAGTGTGTTGCTATGTAAGGCATCTATCCGAGCACTGCCCGCTCCAGCCCATATTTGGTCAGCAGAGGTCGGGCGGCCGCCACAGCAACTGGGAAGCGCTCGATGCGCGTGTTGCCCTCAATCGGCGCCTCGGTCGTGTAGAGATAGATGAGGCCATAGGTCAGCAGCAGGTAGGCCACCATGGTGTCGGTTGCCTTGGTGCCCTTGAGGATGACGAGTCGCTCGCGGCCGTCATCTCCCTGGCCTGGCTGCCAATCCATGTAGTCGATGGTCTTGTGGCCGTCGATGGGCTCCCTCAGCAGAGACAGATAGCGAGTGGTGTCAAGGCCGGCATAAGCATACAGCACCCGCCTCCTCTCCATCCCCTCTTGACGACACCAGTACCTCAGGACCATCCACTTGACGAATGCCGTGAAGGATCGAAAGAGCCAGCCCAAGCAGCGGACGGGCGGGTCGGCGGCATCGTAAATGGAGCAGTAGGGATGGGTGGGGGGCAGATCGGTGAGGGGGACCGTCGTGAATTTGGTAGATCGGATCCTGTAACGCTGTTCCGTCACACCACCATCGCCCTGCTGTCCCCCCTGATCGCTGCCCGCTGTGCCCTCTCCGGCACTCGCGTCGCCGCCCCCACCGCCATCCTCATTCATCTCATCGCCATTGTCGCTGTCTCGGTCACTGCTGCCCTCATCCTCATCACTCTCCTGATCGCTGTCGTGATCTCCGTCCACCTGCCGCAGCTCTAAGCTGGTCCCTTGGTAGCTGAGCATGTGGCCGAATGTGCTGTAGATGGCTAATGCGGCCGGCATCTGATGAAAGTCGCTCTTGCTGGCCATCATGGTGGCCATCCAGTCAGCCGACAGCCGCAGGGGCAGTGCCTTGATGAGCTTGTAGATGGCCGCCACACAAATGAAGTCCGCCATCTCCTGCCACACGTGACCTCCCTGCTCGACCACATAGGCGCATTTGCTGTAGTACTGGAATGACGGCCGATAGATGTCGATGAGGCCGCTGAGGTGGTTGCTGCCGAGCGAGCCGCCGATGCGCTTGAGCATGAAGGCCTCGTTGATGAGTTGTGTGCCGTAGTGCGTGTTGGCTGCCCGCGCCGGGCTAATGGCCACGTCGACAGGGAGGTAGCCCACCACACCGTCACAGAACACATCGGGCGGCAGCCGGTTGGCCGTCACGTCAACGGCATTGTCTGGTTGGTAGGGGGGAGGGGGCGGGGCGGCAGAGATGTGGTGGGCCATAGTCTGAATGGCAGCCGAGAGGGTCGACACGCTCGACTTGACAGATGACCACTCATGGGCAATGACGGACGCCTGAAGCCATCACACAGAGGATAAGGCGGGATGTGTTGAGCCGCCCCTCTCACTGTGTCTGTGTGACTCACCTGGTCGTTGGTAATGGACGGCATTATCAACGGGTCGGCGGCCGACTGCTGAAGGAGTGAGTGAATGGCCGCAAGCCGACCACACACATCGCCCGACCCGACACACACAGGGGGCGACGCCTGCACACACACGACGAACAGCGGCACACTCAGTGACACTCAGCCATTGACGCAGTGGCGTGTGGTGCCACACTGCCTGCCTCACCGATGCTGCCTGACTGTGCCCCTCCTGCTGCTGGTGGTGGTGGTGGTGAGCGGCTGTCCCATTCATCGCACCGACGCCTGTGCACCAAACACACACACATGATCGTCCGTTGTCTGTCTGTCTGTCTGTCTGTCTGTCAGCCGTGTGTGTGTGTGTGAGATCTCACCAGCATCCCCAGCGGCACGGCCGTCGACACGGTGGCGCTTCGCGTCACCTCCACCACAGTCAGCAGACGAAGACATGTCTGCTGCGCACAGGCCTGTGACACATATAAAAATGGGCAGCTGATGATTGCACGACAGTGATGGTCCTCCCATCTTGCGCACATGCGTCATTGCCGCCTCACCTCCTTGCGATACGATGCAAATCCGACGCGAAGCAGCTGCAGGCACAGAGCTCGACACTCTGAGGAAGACGCGCACGACACTCATCCAGCACACTCCCAGACTGAAAGGGCGCCTTTTGCAGCGCGCCTTGTCTTAATGCTCACCTCTTGGTTCGGTCAGCCGAGGCTCTCGCAAAATCACTCGGCTTTCTTCATCGCTGATTTGCAGATGGCATCCCGCAGCCTGCCATGCCTCATCCAGAGTGCGGGAACCCTTCTTCTTTTCTCCTCCTTGTTGCGAGCTCAAGCTCGCAACGGGAGAATCTCGGCCGGGAAGCTGGCCCCCGGCC